TGTGTGTGTGTGTGTGTGTGTGTGTGTGTGTGTGTGTGTGTGTGTGTAACTGTTGCCACCCCTACCACACTGAGGCAGCTTTAGGACTGTCCCTCACTTTCCTCCCTGCTTTCCCTAGCTGTCAGATCCTGCTGTGCATACAGCTCAGTTTTGCCAGCTTAATAAGAGCAGAAGCTCATACGTGTGTCCCTGTGGGGCACCAGTGACGCTGGCATGGAAGAGGTGTGACCAAGAAGACAAGACATAGATCAGGAGGCCAGCAAGTGTGAGAGCCCAGAGTGAGTAACAGAAGTCATCTCAAAGGCCTTTTGGATGTCAGAGGAGGACCTTGAGAGGAAGTGGTTCTGAGAACAAACCTGCCTTCTGTCAGAAACAGGGAGGCTCACTGGCTGGCGAGTTCTTCCTCGGCCTTCATGGTTCTGATGCAATTGTGACCCCTGCCCCCTCCACTGCCTACTTACTGAAGAAAAAAAAAAAAGGTTCTGAACCCTTTATTCAACACCTTCTTCTTTGGGACAAATCAGAAAGACATTTGGGCATAATAACAAAGCAGTAACAAATACTAACAAAATAGTAGGGACCAGCCATGAAGGACACAGAATCACGAGGGTGCACAGTGCCTGCTGGAGGACTCCAGCCCTGATCTGGGAAGATGCTGAAAGTTCAGTGGTTGGCAAATGTCGAAGTGAAGACAGGTGGCACAGAGGAAGCTTTGAGGCTTGGGGGGACCATGAGAATGCTCTCTGACACTGAGCTGGTTGGTGCCTGTCGTTACATAATCGTCACAATGCTCTGACTGTGTGCCGAGTGTGAACCCTGGCACACATCTTGGTTTTAAGGTAGTAATGGGGGTATCGCAGTAGCTCAGCAGTTGTCAGCTATAGAGGAGCACAGCTGGAGAATCAATGAGACACTTGGGTATACTCCACAGTCAGAGAGAGCCTCTGGCAGGTAGTTCGCGGCAGGTACAAGGCAGATCGTCTGTAGTAAAATGCCACCAGGAAGGTGCTTCCGGGAGGGCCCAGGAGCATTGTTTTCAAGTTAGGTTCTGGCGACATCAGAGCTTGTGACAGTGGCAACTTCTAGCATGTGCTCAAGAGCAGAGGCCTCCCTGTGACTCTCTATACAGCAGGGCCTGCCAGACAGCTCCACCCCCAGGTAAAGCACAGGACAGAAACACCACCCAGTTCTTCCAGCATTGCAAGCAAACCCACCCTCTGTGAGTACACAGTACTTGGCTGCAGTTCGGACAGGGCATCAGGAGGTGAAAATCCAAACATGCCTTCCACCAAACGGAAAGGGAGAGGGGCAGCCTGACTCAGTGTCTAAGGTGGGTGACAGTGACAGGGTGTTCCCAAAAAATAATGGTAATGAGACCCTGACTTGAGTATGCACAAGGATGCCTCGGGAGGCTGGGCAGGACAGTGTCAGTATGGCCAGTGTATAGTGCCCAGAACCTCCAATGCACAGGGTCCAGACTGTACCACTGAGGTTCACTTTAGAGAGAAGCAAAGTCGGTGATCCCTGTGTGGCTGGAAGACTGGGATTTTACATTTACTGTTGGTGTTGGTTTGCTTTACTCCGCAACCCTAGGGACGTGCATGCTGCTGTCGTCATTACTATTGCACAGTGAAACAATGGGTGCTCAGAGAGCTTAAACACTGTTCCCAAGATGACACAGGCAGTCAGTCCTCAGTGTTGTGACTTCCCAGGACGTGGCTCCTGTCTGGAGCAAGCTGTCTGCTTGAGCCCAGAACCTGAATTTGAACATCTAAACTAAACTTGCTCATGTATCTCTCTAGAACGTAATGTATCACATCAGAAAGGTAATTTTGCTGTCAGTATATACCTCTGCCCAGTCTGTAGCCATGAGGACTGTCTTGTGCTGCTGTGACTCACAGTCCTTCTGGCTGATGAATGTTCCCCTACTGAGATAACACCAAAAGTGGAAAAACAGAGGTGTTTATCTAGATAAGAAAGACTATAAGAGATCTTCAGAGGAGGGAGAACTTAGGAAGATGCACACACCCGGACCTGGGCAGCACTGAGATCTATGAGAAGGGACCCAGAGACTTCAGCTGACGTTAACCCGGAAGAGGAAAGAGGTCAGCAGGAAACTGACAAGCCTTAAGGACGAGGCACAGTGAGGAGCAATCTTGCAGAGGGAGATACGTTAAGTCTTCTCTCCTGTGCCGTGTGCCAGAGCCATGGCGATGGCACAAAGGAGCCTGACACTGGGCTGGGTGGCTGCCATCTTGCTGCTGCAGATGGCCGTGGCAGAGCACCTCAGGTGGACCTTGAATGGCAGGCCCCGGGTATTCTCGGACCTGAGTGTTTTCGAGATGAAGATTGTGCACGACTTCCTGATGGACAAAAAGGAGCTGCAGCTGCAACCATCCAGGACCCCAACTTTGGCCAAGAACTCAGTATACCTCATAGAGATGCTGCTGCCTGAGAAGAGGGACGTGCTGGATTTTCTGGACAAAGGAAAAAGGAGTCCAGTGCGGGAAGCCCGTGTTGTCATCTTCTTTGGTGCTCAGGAGCACCCTCATGTCACTGAGTTCGCTGTCGGGCCCCTGCCAGTACCAATCTACATGCGAGAAATATCTCCCGGGCCCGGGCGCTATCCATCCTGGGCATCCAGACCCATCTCCAAAGCAGAGTACAGCCTCATCTACTGTGCCCTGATGAATGCCACGGAGCCTCTCCACCAGTTCTTCCTTGACACCACCGACTACTCACTAAAGGACTGCCTTGAGCATTGTCTCACCTTCACGTACGTGGCCCCCCACGGCACAAAGTCTGGCCAGCGCCGCAGCTGGTTCATCCTGCAACGCTATATGGCCGGCCACTTCCTGCAGCCCACAGGCCTGGAGGTCCTTCTGGACCACGGGAGCTCAGACGTCCAGGACTGGAGAGTGCAGCAACTCTGGTATAACGGCAAGCTCTACAGCAGCGCGGAGGAACTGGCTCAGAAATACGCCAGTGGAGAAGTGAGTGCGCTTGTCCTCATGGAGTCAGGACCCAAGGACTCAGAGAAGCCCCCAGTCTCCTCTCTCTCCGGCACCCCGGTGGAATTCCCCACTACTGTCAGCATGGCTAGCCCCAGCGTGGCTGAGCCCCATCTTCCCCGCTATAACATAGAGGACAACACAGTGTTCTATGGAGACTGGCTCTTCTCCTACCGGCTACGACCCTCTTCCGGCCTGCAGATCCTGAACGTGCACTTCCGGCGTGTGCGCATTGCGTATGAGGTCAGCGTGCAAGAGGCTGTGGCGCAGTTTGGAGGACATATACCTGCAGGCACTCATACCAAGTACATGGATGTGGGCTGGGGCCCAGGCAGTGCCACTCGCCAGTTAGTCCGGGGCATTGACTGCCCAGACACAGCTACCTTCCTGGAAGTCATCCACCACTATGACACCGACAAGCCAGTCTCCTACCCACAAGCTCTCTGCCTCTTTGAGATGCCGGCAGGAATGCCAATTAGGCGCCACTTCAACTCCAACTTTAGAGCCGACTTCAACTCCAGTGCGGGGACGAAGGGACACATGCTGGTGTTACGGACAAGCTCGACAGTCCACCACTATGACTACCTTTGGGACTTCATCTTCTACCCTAATGGGGCAATGGAGGCAAAGATGCAAGCCACTGGCTTGGTCCATGCCTCCTTCTACCAGCCTGAGGAGAAGAGCTACATCTCTCAGTTGCACACCCACCTGTTCAGCAAAGTCCACACCCACTTAGCACATTACCGTCTTGACCTGGACATAGCAGGTAAGACTTGGGACCACACCAACTTAGACACTCAAGCACCACCCACAGAAAACCTCCCTCTGTAGGTTGGGGCTAAGACTTCTTGGCATAATATCAGGAGATGGTTTCAACCACACTCCATGTGAAAAAGAACCTGGTGCCACTCCTGGAAAGTGGTAGCAGTGAGTGATGCCCTCGGGTTACCCTGACTGTGAAGTGTGCATCTCTTCTTATTGGCTCTGAGTAGAATGGTGCATAGGGATGGGGCTCCATGGAGATTAAACAATACCTCTGCCTAGCACTTCGTGCTGGGTTCTAATACCATCTGGGTTGCTCAGTGTGTTCCTTATAAATGTCGTCATAGAAGAGTGGCAGAGAGGTGATGTTTGACATCACATCCCATAGTTTAACAAGGCTACCAGAAGCAGATAGGTGGTTTCCACATGCTCATTCCCACTGGGCCGTCTGGTCAAGAATGCAGAGACTGTCTTCAAGTCCGCAGAAACACAGGCTTCCTGTCCTACGTGGTTAAGACCCCAGCAAACAAGCTGCAGCAAGCTCCGCAGAGAATGATGGTAGGATCACAATGAAACTGCCACCATTGCCAAGAATGACCCAACAGCTATCCTCCAGCTCTCTGGTTTCTGGTTTGCTTGGTCTTCTAGACCTCGCTGCTAGGCCAGCGTCTCCCCTAGTGTGGCTTCTGGCAGTTGTCTATGGATGTTCTTGGTTGAGACCCCAGGGTAGAGGAAAGCAGTTTCTGTTTCAGCAACTGATTCTCCCCCTTTCTCCCTTCCTCTTTCCAGGCAGCAAGAACAGCTTCCAGACACTGCAGATTCAGGAAGGCATCGCCAACTCTAAGAGCCTGAGACAGCATGCAATCCAAAACAACCTAAAGCCAATGAATTACTCACAGGAGCGCCAGGCAGCCTTCCACTTTGGAAAGCCGCTTCCCAATTACCTGTTCTTTAGCAACCTCCACAGGACCCATTCGGGCCAGAGGAGCACCTACCGCCTGCAGATCTACTCCAAAATCCATCACGTGCGACTGCCAGGTTGGCAGAAGAGGCGTGGTGTCTCTTGGACCAGGTGAGAAAATCTAGTGGATTTGGGGAACATGACCAGGGCTCCCCACTGTGACTATGTGTTCTGTTTGGACCTTTGTCCTGGAAGGTTCATGTCTATGTTTGCATTTGTACACTCCGGGTGGGGGTGGGGGTGGAAATTCTTACAGAGATACTGGCACTAAGACGGTGATGGCCACTTTTCCAGACCTCCAGGATATAAACATTCATTGTGGATAAGGACTAAATTTTCTATCCTCCACACTAGGGATGCACCCCGGGAAGAGATCAGATACAACTCCAGGGCTCAGAGCCATTGGCTTCTTCTCCTCCTGTAGGTACCCCTTGGCTGTGACCAAATACCAGGATTCTGAGAGGTGCAGCAGCAGCATCTACAGCCAAAATAATCCCTGGGATCCCCCTGTAGTCTTTGAGGATTTCATTCGGAACAATGTGAACATTGAAGATAAGGTAATGCGTCAGTTCCCTCTGCCTACCTCAAACCTGTCACCAGCCACTGCCTAGAGCTGTCACTGGTCCCAGGAGTTGTGCTTACTGGGTGGTAAGCAAGTTCAGGGGTCCTAGAAGATGGGTCTGCTTTTTTAAATGGAATTTAGAACATCTCAGGTAGGCACAATTGAACTTACCATGAGCCAGAGTGAACTCAGGTGTCCAGTACTCAGCACAACCCTGTCCGCTGAAGCCTTTGTCTCTCCCATAGGATTTGGTGGCCTGGGTCACAGTGGGATTCCACAACATGCCCTATTCTAAGAACAGTACCGACATGGCTGCACCCAGGAACATTGTGGGCTTTGTGTTTCGGCCCTTCAACTCCTTCATGGCTTCTAGAGACACCCAGCTATAACTGCTACAACTGCATCAAGCGCTGGAGACAGAGCCTGCCTGACGCTCCCGCCTTTTAACTACAAGGGGCCGTATAACCCTGTGTGAAGAACCCTGTCCCAGCCCCTGCTAAGCACAAGGGTAGACAATAAACCCTTCAGCTTCCACCCTCGAGTGCTGCTTCTCAGTGTCCAGGGGAGGGCATGGGCCACACACAGATGGCTGGCCATGGTTGCATTCAAGTTTGTCTATGCCTCCTCACCTCCCAGAAAGACCTTAATGACAATGGCAGAGAAAGCTCATAGGATACTGGAACTCTCTATCGGATAGAGGTTTTCGGTATCTGAGGTTTTCAGCTCTCTGTCAGGAAGGCTGTGGGGAAATGGCCCAAGTCAATGACAGCCATTCAGGGGAGGGAAACTATTAGAGGGGCAGGTGAAAAAGGTTAGCAACACTTTCGTCCTGTGGCCATTGCTCTGGCATCCAAGAATTACCCTCAGCAGCCCTCCAGAGACACAGGGAAAAGCGTACGTGGCCGTGTTCTTGTTATCTGTGACGACAAAGCATGGAGAAGACCAGCCTCCCATCCCGATTAGTGCCGCAAGCCAGGGCTCGGCCGCAGTGCAGTGCCAGGTATAGAAAACCGTATGAGGGAGGGCAGTCTGCGCACTGTAGGAAACCCCTGCAGTTTTCCGACAGGAAAACCCACATAGTAAGGGGAAGACTAAAATGGCAGACAACAGCACGTATTGTGTAAGAATGAGAGGAGACTAGAAATCCATTTTTTTCCCCAAGAATGAAGGGTAGAAGCCCTCTGGGTACCATTGAAAGCCGAAGCAGCAAGGAAAGAGATCTTTCCTCACAGCACAGTTAGAGATGCAGCACTAGCAACTCCAGGGCTGGGGCTGGCACTGGTGACAACTCTTAGAGTCAGGACACCCAACAAGGAGCCTGGAGCAGAAGACACCACCCTGAAAGCTGAGGGGAGGCCAAGCTCAAGGGTCCAACAGAACTGATCCCATCTTTCTCCTCCTACAAGGGTACATTAGAAACCAGAGAGTCTCAACCTCTCCCTCTGTGTGTGTGTGTGTGTGTGTGTGTGTGTGTGTGCATTGTGTATGTGTGTGTGTTTGACTATTGCCACCCCTATGAAGAAGCTGAGGGGAAAATGAGGACTGAAAGCCTCCTTTCACCTTATTCCCCATCTTTCCCTAACTGTTTGATCCTGCTGTGTGAGCAGTCGGGGCTCAGTTGTTCCTTCTGAGGGGGACCAGACCTATCCAGAGTTCCAGGTCTGCTCTGATAGGACACCAATGATGAAGGCAAAAAGCAGGTTGTGCAAGGAGACAGCAAGTACAAAATCTGTGGGTGACAGAGGCCACCCTAGGGTACTCTTAGGTGACAGAGGAGGACTATGAGAAGGGGAGGGTTGGAGGTATGCCTCCATTCCTCCCATCTGCAGCAATGGGCAATCATCAGCTGCAAAGTTCTCCCACCTTTGTCCACACCACCCTTCCCAGCTTATTTTGGCAAAAGAAAGTTCTAAGCCATGCTTCCACATCTCCTTTCTTACAGGCAAAGCTGAAAGAAAGTCAGAGATGAGAAAGTGTGAAGTAGGAGCCCAGACACGAAGGACACAGATGCACAATGGCACACTGTCTCCTAGAACTCCAGTCCCACTTTCTGGAACAGCCAGTGAGGTTCAGTGGTGGACAAAGTGTGAACCGGAGGATGGGAGGAGTGGGATGGGCAGGAGGATTTTAGGCAGTAGGAACCCTCCCTGCCAAGGCAATGGCTGGTTACTGTCGTTATACACTTCTCATGAACCTTCGTGTGCTCACTTAGCAAGCATGAACCAGGGGGCAAGCCGTGGGTTCTGGGAAGCAATGGGGTGTCTCTGTAGCTCAGCAGTTGTCTACATGAGCCATCTTGGTAAATACTGATATCAAGGACTCGGGGAAAGGACATGAAGTATATGGTAGCATTCTACTCCTCCTTCTCAGCTTTGTTATGAACCTAAAACTGCCTTCAAATATAAGGTTCACAGTCTCAGCGGACCTCCATCATGGATTAGGATTGGGGCTCAGAACTCCATCCCTTCTTAAACATCAATAGTTATAAATAGGCAGTTAACAGTTGCTGAGGGAAAGGAAGTCATAACCCTCAGTGGCTAAAAGTAAGTTACTCTTGTCAAACATATTACCCCTAGACCATAATAAGGCAAGTGACCTAATTAAATACAGTTGGCTACAAAAATAAGGATGGAGAGGAAAGGAGAGGAGAAGAAATGAGAGAGAGAGAGAGAGAGAGAGAGAGAGAGAGAGAGAGAGAACATACATGCTTTAAAGAGGGGAACTTTCACCTGAAATGACATTGATGTCTGAGGACCACGCTGACCACAAAGGACCATCTTGATGTAAGTGGCCTACAATGCCACCTGAGGCCATGGTGATACCCAGATCCATGCTCGTTCACCCTGACTGTAAAGAGCAAGGAAGCGACTTTTACGGTGATATCAATGATTGCAGATACATGGTTGAGAAAGAGGGACATTGGAAGGCTTCTGTGACAACCCCTATCCCCACCCCCACCCTGGCTCCCTCCAAAAGAAGTAGCAGCTTAAACAGGAAGCCATTTAAGAGCACTTTCAAAAACTGTAATAAAGATACTAAAGTTAGCTCTCCACAATTGATGGATTCTGTGGAAGGAATGAAGGAGAAAACAACTCTGTTCTATTTAAGGGGCAGGCCACAGAGCATTTGACCATGCTCCAGTGAGTATATAGAAAACACATATTGGAGGGTTTTTTTAAATCTTTTTAATTTTATTATTATTATTTATTATTTATTATTATTTTTGCAGGCACAAGAACCAGGAGAAAACATGGAAGGACCATGAAATGAGTGTGATCGAGGTGCATGATACGAAATTCCCAAAGAATTGATAAAAATATTATGTTTTTAAAAACCTGCATGGTGGGGGGAGGAGGGAGACTTACTGGGAAGAGAAAGAGCTTGAGGGAAATAGGAGAGGAGAAAAGAGAGATTATGAACAAGTATATTCTATTCACAGACCCAAGCCTTGGGCCAGGCCTCTAAACCCCACCCCTATCTGCAAAATGAGAAGTGCAGAGACCCAGAGGAGCTCTTGGGCCAGAGTCTGATACCAGAAAGAACCTTCTGGCATCAGCAACAGGCACAAGGCTGCTCCTTTGTAGAGAAATGTCATTTACCATCATGGGGGTCAAGTCAGTATCTAGAAAAGCCAGGACTGCTGACAGCGACAGCACCATTATGTGGGCAAGAATCAAGGTCTCCCAGAAGTCCATACACAGTGGAACAGCCTCACCCCAAGGTACAGGGAAGGGCAGACTGGCAGCCACAGAGGTCTCCTTGCATCAGTGGCACTGCCCTGCTTATTTGCCCGGTGGCTTTATGGTTGGTTAGGCGCTGAAGACCCCACCCCGACCTCCTTCAAACAGTAAAAGAGAAGGTCATTCTCCCTCCCTCCCTATCAGGATAATTTACAGGGTGTTCCAACAACGGTGGTCGAGACCTCAATTTGATGCCCCATTTGGAGGCCAGAGAATCCTGGGTAGGGAAGGACTCTCCCCGTTCTGTTTCCCAGCCAAGACTCACCAACTAATCTGTGGGGCTTACAAGCTCCTGTGCACTGGGGTCCAACCTGTGTCATCAGTCTACACCTTTTCTGTGTTCACGTGGGTCAACATCAGGGCACTTTATATTCACTGTCAGTTTGTTTCTCTCACCAACACCTAGGAGGTCATGGTTTGGCTGGCATTTTCTTTTCACAGTTCAGACAATGAAGACTTTAAGGAACATGACCAAGGTGGCATTTCTCTTCACTAATATCATTTGCTGGGCCTTGACCCCAGACAGAACTCTAACCCAGAGTGAGCGTTTTGAACATACAGGCTCCATTTTGAAACGCAAACCCCTAAAATGTGTTTTGTTGTATCCAAAAGAAAGTCTGTTGTCAGCAGAGTGTTCTGTCCCACTACCACATAAATAATTACACCCTTTAGGGCCAAACCTTGGGCTGAGTCATGATGACTCATCCTAACAGAAGAATGTTCTCCCACTGAGATAAGCCCTAGTGAGAGACAAAACATGGCAATGTTTGCAGGTAAGAGAAACTGGAGATTTATCAATGAGGTCATCAGAGGACTCTACACAGGGCCCTGAATGCGCTGGCAACCATGCGAGGACCCAGGATTGAAGTTCTAGCTTCAGCTGAGGTGAAGGAGAGAAGATTTATCAGTAGGAAAACAGTTCGTAGAGACGAGGAATTCCAGGTGATAGCTTGGAAAGAGAAATAGCTCTTCTCTGCTGAGTTATGGCACCATGGGGCTACACCAACACAGCCTGACCCTGGGCTGCTCAACTCCCACTTTGCTACTTCAGACAACCTTGGCAAAGCTCACTGTGTGGACCCTGGACAACAGTGCTGTGCCCTTCCTGAACCCAGATGCCCACAAGCAGGAGGTGGTGCGGAGCTTCCCAGAGAACACGATGGAGCCAGAGTTGCAGCCACCCGAGATGTGCTTTTAGACAAGAGATCTCTGTTTCTGGTTGAGATTCTACTGGGTTGGTGTTTTTTTAATAAAGAATTGAGAAGGCCTATACTGGAAGTCCATGTTAGCATCATCTTGGGAGCAAAGGAGCACCCCAATGTGACCAAGAGTGCTGTAAGGTTTCACCCATGGCCCACCTCCCTGAGAACTCTGGTCCCTGAGTCAGGCCACCATCAACCCTGACCTTTTGGCTCCAGCTCCATCTCCCCTGTGACACCCTGAAGGAGGCACCAAGCCCCTGCAATGTTTTTTCTCAGCATCACTGGCTTCTCACTCCTGGACTATGGCTGCCTAGTGACTGGCCTCCTCCAGTGTAGCCTCCTATGGTGTGGGGTTTGGCCAGTGCTATATCTGGTTCATAAGTCTGCTTCTGTAAGACCTGGGGTCTCACAGCTCAGGAGTTTAAGATCACGCCCTTCCCAGAAACT